TGGTTGACCCAGGGAGAAAAATTAATGTACTTACAAGAGCAAACTGAAGGGGCTGGGGATGTGGCTCAAGCGGTAGCGCGCTCGCCTGGCATGTGTGCGGCCCGGGTTCGATCCTCAGCACCACATACCAACAAAGATGTTGTGACCACCGATAACTAAAAAATAAAATATTAAAAAATTCTCTCTCTCTATCTCTCGCTCTCTCTTTAAAAAAAGAGCAAACTGAATAAGTTTATCATGAGGGTAATGGCTTTCTATTTGACCAGGAAAATCAGCAAAAGCTATTTGCCAAGTATTGGAAGATTGCCAAAGCCAACTATGCTCTTGAATAGAAAAGATAACAATAATATTTGGTTTGAACCAACTAACTGTAAAACTTGTGTTCTTTGTTTAATAACTAGCTGATGTATGAAATCAGGAAATGGAGTAAATGACTTTTGAGGAGAATGAGATATGTGAAGCCATCCAGCAATTCCCAGTGATTGCCACATTGCTCCCACAGGGGCATGAGCAGTGGAAAATGTTGGTAGATATACAGGCTCTTGTGAATCGACTCTAGTGAGACGTGCTGTCTTAATGGCAGGTTCAACTTTTGTTGAGCCCTCCTTGCTTCTGCTGTGAGCTGATGAGAAGATGGAGGAGGATCTCCCTGTGAAACTTGAAATACAGAGCTCCAGTCTGCAGGGGCCAGGCTTAGACCTGTCGCAGCCTGAAGGAGGGTGGCACTGGCACAGAGTGACCCGGAGATCTTTATTGTGGCATTGTGGTGTGTCTGAACAGGGAAAGGAGAGAGCGAGAGAGAGAGAGAGAGAGAGAGAGAGAGAGGGAGAGCGAGCAGGAGGGCCCTGGAGGAGAGAGTTGGTACGGCTGAGACCTGACGGGCCTCTGGGTCTGCAAGCTGCCTTGTTGGTGTACAGTGATTGGATCATACAACAGTTGCTAAGGTCATCTTCTGCCTTCAGGCAGACTGGGCAGGGGCTAGATGTGGGTTTCTGTTGCACCAGATGGATGGGGGTCCGGTGTTCAGCCTTGAGTGGGGTTGAGTGTTCAGACTTGAGGCAAACAAGGCTAACTTTTTTTTTTAAAGAGAGAGAGAGACAGAGAGAGAGAATTTTTTTTCTTTTTTTTAAAATTTTTATTGTAGGTTGTTCAAAACATTACATAGTTCTTGACAAATCATATTTCACACTTTGATTCAAGTGGGTTATGAACTCCCATTTTTACCCCGTATACAGATTGCAGCATCACATCGATTACACATCCACTGTTTTTTAATATTTATTTTTTATTTTCAGAGGACACAACATCTTTGTTGGTATGTGGTGCTGAGGATTGAACCCGGGCAGCACGCATGCCAGGCGAGCGCGCTACCGCTTGAGCCGCATCCCCAGCCCACACCTAGTAACTTTTGACAATCATTAAGAGTATGTAAACCATCAAGTCTTATTTGTAGATTTTGTGGATGCATTGTGTGTTCTTTGACTAAATTACCTAAATATTGAAAGGAAAAGCCTTTCATACCTTTTCATGTGCGATGCATAAATCCATTGCAGTAAGTGAAGTTTTTAATTGAGCAAAAATTTTCAAAAGCACACTTGAACTAGCCAGAAGAAAGTCATCCCTGGGACAGATGATATATGCATCAAGGAACTGTCCACATATTGGAGCTCTAGGCTGCGCAATGAGATCTTGACACAATGTTGGACTTTTGGTCATTCCTTGAGGTAACACTTTCTAGCAAAATCTCTTAACTGGCTTTTTGAAATTTATAACTGAGATGCTAAAAGCAAATCTCTTACAATCATCTGGATGCAACTGTATAGTGAAAAAAATATTTAAATCTATTAGTATTAATTGATAATCAAGAGGGATACTGTAGGAGGGGAAGTCCGGGATGTAAGGCTCCCATGGATTCCATAATATGATTAACTGCTCTAAAATCATATGATAATCTCCATTTACCAGATTTTTAAAAATTAAGTTATAGATGGACACAATGTCTTTATTTATTTATGTGGTGCTGAGGATCAAACCCAGGGCCTCACATATTCGAGGCAAGTGCTCTACCACTGAGCCACAGCCCCAGCCCCATGGCCAGATTTTTTTTTATAACCACAAAAATTGGAGTATTCCCCGGACTAAGATGAGTCTGAATATGACTGGCTTGAAGTTGTTCTTGGACTAAAATATTGGCTACTTGGAGTTTTTCACCTGTCAGGGGCCATTGGTCAATCCAGCAAGATCAACAGACAGCTGATTAATTTTCTCTGTTGTTTTCTGGGCCAGGGAAAAAACCAATTACCCCATTAAGAATTTTGTTTGGGTGAATTAGATAATTTAAATTGTCTTTGTTGAGAAGACTGATTTATAGGTAAATACCCTTCTTGTTGATTTCCTTTTAATCCTTTAGTGGAAATAGATATTTGATCAAGCATTTGAGATGACACCATAGATTTAGGAGTTATTAATAATACTCTTAGGGTCTGGGGTTGTGACTCAGTAGTAGAGTGCTTGCCTAGCATGTGTGAGGCACGGGGTTCAAGCCCCAGCACCACCTAAAAATGAACAAATAAAATAAAGGTATTGTGTTCATCTACAAATAAATATATATATAAAATACTCCTAGGCTATTCAAAACATCTCAACCCAGACATTCACTGGTAAAGTCACAAGGACACAAGGTTCTAAGAATCCTCTATTGCCACCCTTGCCTTCCCATTGGAGGTACTGAGCACTGAGAGGTGTCCATTCCTTCTAGACTAGCAGGTGCAGTATGCAAAGGCCAATTTTGGGGCCGAAATTTGCTGGAGATGACTGCTTTATTTGCCCCTGTATCTATTATGCCCTTAAAGTTTTTATAGTTAATTCTAAGATCCAGTAAAGGGTGCTCTTGGTCACAAGCTGTCTGTGGGCTGTGTGTGGACTATGCCACACATTGAAGCCTCCGAGGGGAGAAGTCTGGCACAGAGAACTCCCTGGGGCACTCCCCACAGGGATCGACAGCTTGGCGCAGGTGAACTTCCCCCTCAAGCTCTGCCAAAATCCCATTCAGCACCTGAGATGGGTGTGACCTGCCAAGATGTCAATCAGCCCGCTGACTGCAAGACATCACAAAGCCAGACTCCACCCTTGAAACCTTACTCCTGCCTTTGATGTACCCCTTAAATAAACCACCAGAGCCACTTTGATCTATCAGGGGCTTCACTTTTGTATCTATTCATTTTTAAAATATTTATTTTTTAGTTGTAGTTGGACACAATACCTTTATTTTAATTATTTTTATGTGGTGCTAAGGATCGAACCCAGGACCTCACACATTAGGCAAGTGCTCTACTGCTGAGCCACAGCCCCCAACCTATATTCATTTTTGTATGTATTTCTGAGTGTTTGTGTTTTATTTGTTAATTATTTGAAATATTAAGATTTAGAGTGGCTATTTAGGGTGACTTGGATTCCTCCGGGCAGAAGAACCCTCCAATAAGACTCTGGTCATCTTCCACCTGAAACTCTTGCTTAACAAATTGAGCCCAATAGGATCTGTCCAGGGACCTGGAGTCTAAATTTGCCAGGTCTGTCTGATGAATCTTTCCCTGCAGAACAACAAGGCAAGAAAATCATCGTGCAATTTTATCTTTTAGAGAAAGCCGAGTAATGGAATTTGTTTGAACTATAATCTTAATTTCCCCACTAAAATTTACATCAAGAACACTGGTAATAACCGAGTTCCTTTTTGAGTTAGATTGCTTCTTCCCAGTATTAAACCTACTGTATCTGGCAGCAGTGGCCCATAAATCCCTGTAGGAACAAACTGTGGACTCATCTCTGGAGTCAGTAGGAATTCTGAAGCTGGATGGAGCTCCAAACTCCTGGTTCCTGAACAGATTAACCGTGAGGTTGAGCCTGCGCGTGAGTCTGGGCTAGAGGGAGGGACCCCGACCTGGAGCTTACACCCCACTGTGGGCAGGGAGGTAGCATCAGTGGAGTGTTGGCATCAGTGGAGGTAGCCTGTGACCACCTGCTGGGCATGCCATTCCCTTGCCTAGTGGTTGCCCCCCCCCCATGGCTCTGGCAGAAGCCTGGCACATCTCTTTGACTGGGCAAAAGCCTGCAATCTCTGGCCCTGTTTTCCCACAGTTAAAACCCTGCCTTCCATCACGGCTCTCCTTTGATGGAGTCCACAGAACCTGTTTTAATGTGGTGGCTATGGCTAATCCCTGCAGATGTACCTGCCTGACACTGGCACAAAGGTGGATATAATCAGCAAGGCAACTGAATCACTTCTTGGCAAACTTTATTAGCATTTTCAAAAGCTAGAGGTTTGGGGCTGGGGATGTGGCTCAAGTGGTAGCGCGCTCGCCTGGCATGTGTGGGGCACTGGGTTCGATCCTCAGCACCACATAAAACAAAATAAAGATATTGTGTCCAACTACAACTAAAAAATATTAAAAAAAAAAAAAAAAAGCTAGAGGTTTAACTAATACCTCAGAGTCCTCTGAATCTCTGATCATGCAATCTGCGGCTTGGTATAAATGTGCCACTATTACCGCTGTTGGCCGGTGACGAGTCCTTGCTTCTCTGATGTGGAAGAATAACACCAGAAAAGCACGCAGAGGCAAGGTCAGAGTAGAGATTAGAAGTTTACTAAAGGACAGCAGAAAAGACTTCTCCCGGAGGAAGAAGGGGACCCAAGAGGTGGAATCCGTGGAAATGCGGTTGTCTCCCCTTTTTATAGTTTTGGTGACAGAACGTAGGTTGGAAGGCCCGAGGGGTGGGACACAGGTGGGCCAAACAATTAATCTGGGCAGGAAGGACTTCATTATCACTTCTTGGGATGGGCTGTCTCCAAATCTGTTGGGGGCTGTTCCCTGGGTTCCATTAACATTTCTTTGGGGTGGACTTTGGCCTAGGGCCTTTCCTGGACTTCATTAACATTCCATGAGTTGTCCTGCGTTTCCCAGGATGGCCTCCATTTTAGACTTCACTCGATATGATATTAGACCCGATTTACCTAACTACACTGACCACCTAACTTTAAATCTGCCTTCATTCCCCCCTCTAATTTCAGAACTCCTTACTGCTGTAAGGAAAGGGGGCAAAGATCCTTCTGGCTTCTTCAGGCTGAAAACAGACGGTGTGGGGCAAACAGTTTGGAGTCCCCCTTTAAAAATCGGGTCTATCGAGTGGTCCATGATAGAAGTCTGATTGAGAAGTAATAGGCTGGAGGGCCATTTGAGTCTATAAGAGAAACAAGAATTCATTAGTACTGGAACCAGATTGATGCAGCAATAAATGCCACAGCACAGGAATATGCCAATGAGTATGATAACAAAGACAGAGACTAACAATGTTTTCCACCAGGAAGTACCAAGAACCAGAAGCTAAGATTGTTTCCACGACAAAGTTGCTGAGGACATGGCTTCTATCCCAGCATGTGAGTCTTTAAGGATATTTGTCACATTGCCGTAATTGTCAGGGATGTAAACACAACACTTAACTTTTAGGGTTACAGATATCCTTCCCTTTAAGATACAGTTTAATAATTTAATGTCATCTGGTCTTCCAAAATCCTTTTACTAGTAATGACCTCTGTGTCTAATAGAGAGACCTTTAATTCTGTTATTACGGCTGGATAACCATACTAGTAAACACCAAGCCTACCTGTGTAGGTTAGGAATAAAGGCCTTAAACTAAAAACTACTCTGGCAGTCCCTTTTGATAGTTATCAGGCATTCCTGTCTCTTTTGCAGCCTCCAGTTTACTTATTCTTGGAGGTTACATTTAACTATTATTATCATTTAAAATGCCTAGGAATGGCTGTGTTTTGGCTTCGACTGTCTTTGCTAAATGTTTAGGATGAAGCAAGTCAAACTGACTTTTGTTTCTATCTATTGTTAACAGTCAGCTGAGTTTCCCTGGGAGTCCTGGGGGAACTTTACAGCAGCTTCTCAGTTCCACTAGTGCCATTTGCGCTAGGATGGGTCCAGGCCTTGCTTGACCATGTGGCTTCCCTTGGAAGCATCAGGGATGTCTCCCTTCTTTGATGACCCTCCTCTTCACAGCAAATGCACTAGCTTTTTGTCCTCCACTGGTCTCATTAATCTCCCTGATGGGGAGGTTATGTGGCCCAGAGTTGCAAAGCTCTTTGGAGAAGTCCCCTGCTCCCTGGATTCAGACTGACTCAGAGGGCAAGAGCCAAATATTGGTTTTCTTGGCCCTTTTAATTTAATTTTAAAACTTTAATCTTAAACATCCAGCAAATTAATGTCAACAGCCTTATATTAAGAATACTGGGCTTTAATGTCTATCTCTCTATCCTGTAGGTGATAACTCATTATCTTAAATTAACCCAGGTTGTGAGTTCTTAAAGCAGTACCTTTGCCAAACATTAACAGGCAATCTTTAGACCATTTAAGAAAACTACAAAATAAAATTATCAAGAGTAAAAACGTTGAGTTCATGTAATAGCTACCTTGAATTTTGGCAGAGTTATACATTATAATCCCCTGTTTGGACACAATTTTAAATGCACTGAAATCTGGCCTACTTCTTTCATAGTCACTTTCACATGCAGTGAGATGGGACATAGAGCCTTATCTCAGGTAAGGCGTGGTTCTTCATGAATCTTAAATACTATAGCTCTGAAGCTGATCTTTGCTTTTTAGACATCATTTTACAAAGCCTACATAAATTGTTGTGAACTTGAGTAAACACAACATAATATCACATCTAAAACAAGAATTAAAGAAAGGGAAACAAGTTCGCAGCATAGATCGGTTATTGCTTCACAACAGTTGTCATCGAGTTTGCTCATGGATCTTCTGTTTCTGGCTTGTTTCTGCACCACAGGGTCCACTTCCAAGATAATTCTGAAGATGTCTTTGTACTGTCTTCTCCTCTGGAACTGCGACTAGATACTAGCCTTCAACTTTTTTTTTTTTTAATACTAGAGACTGAACCCAGGGGCACTTCACCACTGAGCTAATCTATAGCCCTTAATCTTGAGACAGGAAGTCAGTAAATTGCTCAGGCCCTTGCCAAGGTGCCGAGGCTGGCCTCCAACCTTCGATCCTCCTTTCTCAGCCCCCTGCCCCTGCCACTGGGGTTACAGGCATGCACCTTCATGCCTGGCTTAGTCTTGAACTTCTAAGTGTCTATGTTTCCCTGTTTATTTTTTGAGTGATTCCTATGATTTCGTCTCCTCACATTACTGTCATCCTCTCCAGTCCACAGCTGGGTCCAGCTGACAGGTTTCTCATGTGGTTGCAGGCTCAACAGAGGCTCTTGCCTCAGTCTCCCAAGCAGCTGAATGAAAAGGCACACACTCTCATACCTGGCTTAGGTCCTCTTTTCAATTTATGTTGGTCTCAGAGGTCCACATTGGAAGTCTTCCTAAATATTCAGTGATCGTGGGGCTGGCATGTGTGAGGCACTGGGTTCAATTCTCAAAACCACATATAAAGAAATTAAATTAAATCCATCAACAACTAAAAATATTAGAAAAAAAAAAGCATTCAGTGATCCTTAGCTACATGTTCAAGAACAAGGTGATAGGAAGCAGGTAAGGAGCCAGCATTCCGAGTGGGTCTTGTCAAATGCTGGGCCTTGCTGTGGGGAGGCTGGGTGGGCAGTCCACTGTGAGGCCCACCCAAGTGCCACACTTCAGGGGCTCTTTGGGGACAGTGAGTCTCTCTCTGGATGCCTCCCTGCCTCACTTATGCTGTGTGGTCTGACTCACACTTAGGCATACACACACATTCCTGGATCCTCTCTCAACCTTTCCAGGACCTGTACCCGGCAGAGGAGACTCCAGGCCAAGGTTCCTCTGGCTTTGTCACTCACCTTTGCCTCTGGACATCTCTGGCCCTGTCTCCCTTCTAATACCCTTTCTTGCTCCCCTCTGACAAGTGAGCAGGCCCCCAGTAAGGAACAGGAACAGCAAGTGCCCAAACTATCACTCTAGTGCAGAGGGGCTTGATAGTAACCCAGACTGTGCTGCTATCCCTGGGACTTCTCCCCTCCCCGGGCTTCATTTCTTTGTCTGTCAAACAAGAGGGTGGCCCAAGTACGGTGTTCTCAGGTGGCTCACCCTGACCCATTTCTCTCCAGGGCCGAGTCTCACCTTTGCACACATGGTCACCTGGATCCTCTGTAGCACAGTACACACAGGCTATGTTCAATCCTGGCTTTACCATGTTCTCACCGTGGTCTTGAGGGTGCCACTTTATCTCCTGGAATCTCAGTTTCCGTGTCAGTTGACTGCAGCTCATTACCCGTCCTAACTAGGAGCGGGTCCCCGCCCCAGGCTGGCCCAGGGCTGGAGCTTCACCACGAGTGTTCTCTCTCCCTTCTAAGGTCAGCCTGTGCCAACAATAAAAAGAATGATCTTTTCAGCACCTACCAGGCTGGTCACTTGTCATTCTCATGAGCCACAAAGCAAGAACTATTTCCATATTCCCAAAAAGGAAAGCGAGGACACCAGGAAAAACTAAGACTTCTTGGAAGTTAAAGATGGGATTGTTGGGCTGGGGATGTAGCTCAAACGGCAGTGTGCTTGCCTGGCATGCGCGTGGCGCTGGGTTCGATCCTCAGCACCACATACAAATAAAGATGTTGTGTCCGCCGAAAACTAAACAATAAATATTTTAAAATTCTTTCTCTCTCTCTCTCTCTCTTAAAAAAAATTTTTTTTAAAAATGGGATTGTTCAGGGGCTCAGGTTGTGGCTCAGCAGTAGAGCACTGGCCTAACAAGTGCAAGGTGCTGGGTTTGATCCTCAGCACCACATAAAAATAAATAAATAAAATAAAGTTATGGGGCTGGGATTGTGGCTCAGCGGTAGAGTGCTCGCTAGCACGGGTGGGACTCGGGTTCGATCCTCAGCACCACATAAAAAATAAAGGCATTGTGTTGTGTCCATCTACACCTAAAAAATAAATGTTTTAAAAAACGGGATTGCTCGGTCTGGGAGTGTAGCTCAGCAGGAGTGCACCTGCCTAGCATTGCAAGTCCCGGAGATCCATCCCCAGCACCATATGCACAAGATTGCTAAAAGAAAAATTCTATATGAAAGCTGAGAGATGAAATTCAAGAATAGAAGTATAGCATCAGCGAATATGAGCAACAGGGGAGGCCCCAAGGGTGGAGGGTGTGTGGCCACTTGCCGCCAGCAGATGAAGTCTGCGGAGTCCCGGGGCTCCTGGGGAGGGCAGGGCCCACGGGTCACAGCATCAAAGCCGTGGCAGGCACCTGGTTACAGTCACTGAAGGCACCTCGCCGACAAGCACTCACGTCTACCGACAAACGGCCCAAGTCCCTGCCTTGTGCTGGCACCATGGTGGGCACAGATCCGCTCGCCGGGAGCCCACTTTCTCTTGGGAAGACAAGCCACGAACAGAACAACGTCAAGTGCAGGGGGGCGGGAGGTGCAGAGCTGGGGATGCACGGTGCCGTCCCGCATGCACCATCAGAGAGACCCGGGCGGAGCGCGGGGAGGAAACGGGGG